TGACGGAGACATATGTTTACTAGATGGATCAACATTGTTGCCGTTCGCGCTCCCTTAGCATAGACTGTCGTTTCTGACAATTGAGTGTAGCTTCTCAACGCAGCTCGGGTGAAGTTGTAGAAGTACAGAATGGCCACATGGACGGAATGAGTGATGGGGCGGTTCATGCGCAAGAGTGTAGGAACACGCGGTTTTGCATGAAGGACAAGTCTGAAAATGTGATGACCCAAATAAGAGAAGTGCTCGTAGTAATTTGAAGCGTGTAGTCAATTTCAAACAAAAATTCGCTGAGACCTATGCAAATATGCCTGTGTTCTTATTGACTGCCTCTCTCATTTCATTTGTGAAATATTACAGTTAACATTATTTTGATTTCCAAAGATGATTCAGGATGTGGGCAGCACATTAGGACGTCATTCTGTGGTGATGTTCAGTTTGTCAAACTAGTATTTTTTTTTTTCATTTCTCCTCTTCGGCCCTTCTTTGCACCACGTCACCGACAACAAACAAGCCAGGCATCTCCGCCTCGCAGTTTACCGGTGTGCCTCCGTGGCACAGGGCCCTGCGGCGTGGATTCGTTCGAGGAAGTCGCAGTCAGCTCGCCTGGCTGTTGGCGCGCACACTTCGGTGGTGCCGTGATTTATGGCCTGTTGGAGGGAGCAACGGCCGCCTTCATGTCTGCCTGTGGCAGACTGTCGTTTTTTGCATTTTCGCCTCAGCGACTAAAACAATACAGGAAAAGCAAACCCGGTGTCAGCATCACTTGTCTCCACAAGGATGTTCATTATTCCACGTGCAGAACGCCTCGTACAATAAGGCTGCATTGCTATTGCTGAAATAGGTTAACATTGTTGAGGCTTTAACTTGGATTGTTGCAAGTCTATAATTAGCTTAAAAATGGGAAGCGAACTTGGCGTTTGTTAGCCAACCGTGATTGATTTTGACAGGTACTACAAACACTAATACGAGGCTACTTCTTAGCAATGCGCATTATGGGGGGATTAAAAGGAAAAAATCACTTCTCTGTTAATTGCAAAATTTCGGCTTTAGTAACAACATAAAAAAGAACCGTTGATTTCAAGATTGAAATTCCGAAATTGCTCTGGTGTTTGAACACGAAACTCCAATTACATGTAAAATTGTTCCACAAACTGGATTCTTGTAGAGTCGAACTTGAAGTTTGTTTTCTCTGTATGAATGTTACGGTTAAAGTGTAAACAAGTTGAATTTGATTGGCGCCAATTTTGGATACATGCACAAATGTAGCAGCGGTACATTTTTGAACATCCTCTGGCGTTACAGCCCCACACTGCTTTGAGGCAACTTGCACTCGCTCACTTTGCACAATGACAACTCACTTGTTGACCCAAACGAAGTGATTACTCACACGGGAAAGTGCTAACACTATTTAGCAATGTTTTAATGATTCAACAGCACTCCAGACCGCGTCGTGTTTTCGTAAATTTTTAATTTGTTTGCAGGTGACGACTAATAATGCACTGATGGTATAAAATCCTTCTCCATGTGTAGTCAATTAGAAAACAGTGTTTCAGTGATTTCTAAAATATCCTGTCGTGGATCCACAAAGACGTTTCTTTCGACGCAAAATTGATTACAAAATTGGGTCTTTGTCCAAAATTCGCTGACGATTTTTGATGTCCACTTTGATTAACACCCCTCTGCGTGCTCTGCAATTGCAAAACTACTCGGTACTATATCAATTTTAAGTACGTCAACATTTATCATGACTGCGCTTTACATAATTTAAATACTGTCAGATTAACGCCAATTAAGTCAAGCATATATTATTCAATCTGATATGTCACATGGCCTTTTTCTGAGACAGCAAAGGCTCTTTGCAAGAAGTTTTGACTTTGCCCTGAATTGGGATGGAGCATGGGTAAGGTATGGGATTTGCAGTTTGGTTATCTGAGGTTTTTTTTAAATTGCTGCAATTCGTAACAGTCAACCATAAAAACTCCCATTTAATGAGTGGCATTTGCATAAAACTCATTGACAGCGCTAGTTGATGAATGAGTTTCGACACGTGAAGGCAGATTAACCTCCTCTGGCCACAACCTCTGTCCTATCAGACAAATCTTAGATACCTTGGGACATGTAATTATTTTTTGGAGGACAAATTAACCTCTGGCGAATTGTTTGGTTGTTCTTATGTGCTACAGTATACATGGGTCCCAGTGAGGGGTCGTGAGTTGAAAGCCACGTGTGGGTGAATTAAGCAGACCGAAACAATTTACAACCTTTCTGGCATTTTGAGGTTGATCGATGTGAATTTAAGTCTAAAAATTGATGTTATTGCTTAATACCAGGTTTATCAAGTTAGATGCTTCATAATCACCTAATTAACTGCTCTTCAAACAACAAAAAAGAGGCTTAACAAACTCACTTATATTTCCGTAATTTAATTCAGGCAAAAAGCAGAATAATTTTACCGCCGAGTCTGGTTATTCAGTTTAGTAATGTAACGAAATTGTATTTAGCCTTCAAAAGTTTCTGCTTTTGAGCTATATAATCGGCCCTCGACAACTACCAGAAGGGCTTTTGTGACGCAAATGGAAGGTCATCACTCACGGAAGTTCATGAACGCTTGTCAGGAGTAAACATAATTTTCCGATTGTGTGTTAACATTCGCAGAGTGTCATTGAAATGATCACACCCACTCTAGCGTTCTTAACTTCAAAAATACCTGGTTTCTGACAATATAGATATTATAACCTCCACGTGGAGAAGGCATTATCAATGTCTTTTGCTGATTCCATGCTCAGTGACTCGTTATCCACCACGATTGATCAGAAGTAGTCGCTATACCTTTTATGGAGCCCTTTATTGAAGTAACGCCTGCCCTCCTCTTTTAAAAATTAGCCTGTCGTTTGCTTTTAAAAAGGGGAATGTATTTTTGCAGAAAGCAGCTAACTATGGGTGAGAGATGTGTCTTGTTTAAGCACAATTACTGGTCCGGGCAGAGAAGAACCACATAATAACTTTAAAGCCAATGAAGTTTGAACTCTCCGATGTTTTGTATATAGAGCAATTAGCACTTCAAGTTTAGCCATTTGTGTTACAATAGACCTCAGCATGGCCTTTAAAATTACGAAGCAAATTACCAGACCTTTTCCTCTAAACGAAAACACAAAAAGATGGTTCCAAAAACGAAAATCACTTCAGATGTCCTTTCTACGTTAAGGCAATTAAACAGTTTTCTCAGTCGCGATCTAATACAACTTTCATTTTTGCAACGCTTGTCTGCGAATTTTCTTTATCGCGAGAAAGTGGCATTTCGATAATTTTTTCGGATTTACTCTTTTTATTCCCCACTTCAATTGCGATCGCAGATTTTCGACCAACCATATTTTAGGGATACAGTTACATTTACATCCTGCATTTGCGATTAACCTTATAATGTTAAATAAGGATTTTTGTATTTAAAACCTGTTTTTGGTCCTATGTATATACACCTAGAGCAGAATCTGTCCAAATCCAAATACAAACTAATCATGGCAAATTTCAATTGATGCAAACACAAATGGTTTTAGCAAAATACATGATTGGTAGATACAGCAGTCAAATGATCGTTCACAGCAGAACTCAACATCCGCAGTACCTAAGCTATGGGAGAGCCAACAATCGGCCCAAGTCATCCTGCTTGTTTAACGGGGATCCACGACGCGAGCGATAAAGAGTGGCATTCCCAAGTAGGTGTCGTAAATGGCACAGTAGAAGGGCTGATCGACCTTGAAGGGAATAGCCGGTGGAGGCATAGACATCGGCATTATTGAGACGCTGCTCACAGCAGCCGCTTTCACGCCATTCTCATCCACCTCCATTACGGCAACCTGTTTTGCATCACTAGCATAGAGATTCGAGTCCGGACTTATACCTAGGTAAGAAGTAAAGCGTTACTGTCATCAGTGCAAGCGGTTGGCATAAAAATAGGACATACTATAGTCCTTCTGATGGTATGGAGTTTTCAGTAGTTTATAGACAATAAATAATGCAGGCACAACCTTTTGCCAAAGTTTCAGTCCCAAAATGAACCAGTCAAAGTGAAAAATAAACAAACGGTCTCTGACTACTCAGCTAGCTTACTATTAATGACGACTGCATCATTGACAACATAGATAATATTCTAGCTGCTCTTAATTACGCTCTTCTCCACTGAACTACTAAGTGCATCCTCAATAATAAACTTTACACAAAATTCAAAGTCACTTGATTGATGATAGGTCAGAATTTTGGCTTAAAATTTTGATTGGGTGTATAAATATGTGTGAGGTATCGAGTTTTAGAGGTAAACGAAGTGCGACATTAAAGCAACGCTTTTAGCATACAAGATTTTCCGAAAGTAAGTTACAACAGTCTATGTGTGTTCTTGGCCAAAACGTTATATTGTGCTCTGCAGTTAGAGTTCTTCTTTACTGCTAAAGTTTTTATCAGTACTTGTAAACAAATTACCCGTCAGTTCGGCTGCACCGCGCGTGAAAAGCCGTCTTATGCCAAGTAGGTGAAGCAGAGGCTTCAGATTAATCTCGTGCTTGATATTGAATTTGGGTAAAATAAGTTCAACCTGCTCCTCGTTTCGATAACTGTGAAGCGAATGCCAATTGAAATCCCCGTCTTCCAAATCATCCTCTATCTCCTTCAAGTCGAATCGGTGTTTTGGCAGGAAAATAACGAACTTAAACCGTTCATCCTAAAAGAAAGTAGAGGTGTAATTTAAAGCAGCCCGAGGAAACGACTCGAATGAGCAGCGATTTTGGAAATATTTTGAGCATTCTATTTGCATGCTCAATTTTGTGCATTGTTGATTCACTCTCATAAAGCCTTTGCTGAACAAATTCGCAAATAGAATAGACTGTTCAATAAATTTTACCTTGAACGGTTTTGCAACGACCGTGTACTTCTTCTGTTTCACGTAAGTCATTAAAGCCTCCTGACGCATCATGGGAACTCTAATACGCTGGCCGTTTCTCAGAAAGAAGTCGCCATCACTTGTTTTATCTTTCAAAAACGTCTTGGCCCAGTTGTCTTAAATAAAAAAAACAATAAAGTATTTTATGCGCGTTATACTGGGAAAAGGAAATCTCATCAGGGTTGGTTTCGTACCTTTAAAGGTTATCGCGTTCAAAAGGACCATCAGGGTATCTCTGCTGAGTTCATGTGGTGAGTTATACATTTTCTCAATGAGTCCATCGGTCGAAGATCGTACCCATCTGTTTATTGCTTCAACCGCCTTCGAAGTATTGAAGTCCGTCTAGTGTTGGTATAGGCATAATAGTATTAGAGGCTCACTTGCTCAATTCTGTCACCTCTAAGTTTGGCGAAATTTGTATGGAAACCAGGGTAAAACCTGTATCCTTCTTGCATGAAGACAGCATTTGAGATAGACAAAACTTGAGGCTCTCCTCCTCTTCTTGACCTCTCGACGCCAGTACGAATTCTATCCAACAGTTTCTCAATTTCCGGGTAGTCCAAATTGTCACACGATCGCTTCGCCTTTTTCCCAATGATGCCTTCACAAATCTCCCTTGCAGTTTCACCACTTGCGCCCTTTGATGTCAACAAAGCCGACAACAGAACCAGCACGCTGAGTGGGGAGGCCACAAAGTTGTCTCTGTTTCCTAGATGCAAACAAATCCTCTTAAATTGGATGGGGTTTGTCACAAAAATATCCACGTGTTTTTAGGTCCTAAAATTAGTCTAGCAGTGTAAAAATTATATTAAATCTTAAAAAGCAGTATAAATCGGATTTTTTGACTCTGGTAGCCAGCTGAATATGATGGCAAATTTAAACGTAGGTTGGCAAATAGCATCCATGTTAATAACGTTTTGTTTTTTTAAGTTAACTTCAACAATTAAGTGTGCTTACCACCAATTTTCAGCGACGCTTCAAAAAAACCAGAGTTGAAGTCGTCGTGGGTAATAATATTGTTTGATGTGCCTCTACACATTGCAACCTAAAATGGAAGTAAGCAAAAATAGTCGAGATAAGTCTTCTAACTCTTGACTACGTGGCCTCAAGAATAGCCTCCATTTGCTCATAGTTAGACCTGGACATGTCGGTTGGGATTTTATCCGTATCAACCCATGCAAAATTCTCATAGGTGTATACTTGGGCCGATTGATGCTGCGAAAAAAGTTAGACGGGTAAGCACTTTGTGCCTGCCTTAATTTTCATGCTCAGTCTGACAGGGCGTAGTTCGAATCCCCATGATTAGCATTCTTTTGACTCAAATCGTAGTAGGGGGTTTTAGATCAAGTCGCAGTTTTAGTTTCGTTAACCTAGGCTACAGCTTTGTTAGTATTTTCGTAATTTAAAACTTCCGTCCACAGTTAGGATCTGCTGAATTTACTGAAAAAACTGCTTCGAAGCTGAGTGTTCATTCTTCAGGAATTAATTTGGTTATAAACAGGTAGGAATTAACAATGTACAAAGAATGTGTTACGATATGACTTACTGGCTTGATCTCCAGTTCGTCAATGCAATTCTGACCACATTTATACTTATTTGTGCAGCCTTCTAATTGGCTATCTACGTTTTGCGCACGTGCTAATTTAAGTTCAGTGTCAATTTTTTGACCGATTTAAGGTCTCAGGTGCTAAATAAAATCGGAAGCTTAAGGTGTTGCTTCTTTTAATTGATCCACAGAACTTTCAAAGGAACAACTTTTCCCAGTAGTCGACACATTATATAATAAACAACATTTGCCATTTTAGACTTCGTAGTAGGTTTAATAAACATGAGCCTTCGCATTGAAAATCTCCATTGGTTAGATGTTTTAGTAGTTGTTAAAGAGCTTTGCTAAACAGCACAATGTGAGGCTGTGTCTACTGTAGGAGTTAACGATCGCCTCGACAATACCTGATTTCTTCAACGCTGTTTCATAGATGTAAGTTTGGATACTCACGCACCAAAGCGCTTGTGTTGGAAATTTTGTTTTTACGCAAAAAATATGCAAAAATATGCATTGCACGACTTAACAGTCATCGATACAATGCCACTTTTCCTTACCATTAAATTTCAGCGCATTTAGCACTTGCTTACTGGTTCCTTATTGGTAGGCCTTCATTTGTTCCACACATTTAACCCCTTCCTCTTACCATAGAAATGAGACAATGAGAACGTTTAGTTTTCTGGTACGTCTGATTGCTCTACAAAGCAACCTTTATTATAAAATTGTCCTGACCAAAAAAGTATTCTGTATAGTAAATCAATTTATGAGCTACTATCTGAAGTGGGGAGGCTGCTGATTTAAAACAGCTTGTTTTATTACATTGCAGTGAGTTGCCCGCAAACTTTGTCGCCACAGTCTCCGATAAACTACCTCCCTTTACACGGCGTATCCGTTTTCCCATACATCTCCGTGATTGTACCGCCACCGTTATCAGCTTCACACATCTGGCTATAGTCATTTGTGCCTTTACAAGTTCACCCAAATTGTATCTGTCATAAACTGCATCCGTCACATGTACACACACGAAAGCCACACAACAAGATTGAGGCATCTCCGCCATCTCCAGGGTATCAGTGTAGCAAGATCGGGTTAATGCACAAAATTTCCCTGGTGCTGTTCATAATCACATGTCGGGGCCTTCAGCAACACCAAGGGCGGTCAGCCATGCTGATGTTTTGGCACATTTAAGGAGAAAAAATTTCCCAGGTTGAGTTTCGGTCTATGATATGATTAAACGCAGCATGTATTGACACAGTTCAGGCTCACGGTGACTGTCAGAACCATTTAAGAAACAAAAGGCTTCGGAAGCTTCCTTGACTTATTTTAATTCCGTCGCCTACTTACAACGACCAGCCTCACAATCACGTAAAACCCCAACTTCAAAAGTGAAACTTACTACTCTGAAGTCCTAGGGAGTTCCGCCTATGTTAAGATGGACCCATTACAAAAGTACCTCCTCGAAAGTGCGTCGAAGAAATGACGAAAGCCACCAGCTTGGTGCATGCTGTGTTGGGTTAAGGCCTGAGTTTGTACTTCTTGGTAATCCTTAATTGACTAAATTTTACAGCACATAAATCAACGGCGTAATCCCCATCTATGTCCATGATTTCCTTCCACAGCTCCACCAATCCTTTTACAATGTACCGTCAAAAATCGCCTGGTGTATTTCTACAGCAACTGTTAAAGCAAATTTTAACACTTGCATTGCTGCCGAATATTATATTGTGTATTTCGGGTAAAACGATGGTAAAATGATAAAGAGTGATCCATTATGAATTGGGGTGGCGCACAAGAAAGTCGGCCATTATTTTGAAGCACCGATGTGCCAGATTTTCTGTTAGTTCATTCGGCACCCACACTTGCATCTTCTAAACCTTAGCCAATTTTTAGGGGCATCACCTAAAAACCAACTCATATTTTGACTTAAAAACTGCAAGTTACGTTATTTGTTTCCCCTCTTGAAAAAGTCACCTTGGGCATATCTGCACTCCGAATTATTCCGTTTCAGCTTCGGTACTCGGTATCGCTGGTTGATTGAGATAATTTTATTTGGAAGCACAAGCAATTTTGACAAGTTACTGTGTCATATTCCGTTCTACCAAAGATGTCACTTATTGAAAGGGGCACAGCATAGTTAAACCCTCAAGGGAACTCCTAATCAGGTATTTTTATCATCAGTAAAGAAAAAGACAACAGTTGATTCGAGTAAGAATTTAAAATAGGACATGCCCTGTGACATTTTTTCCCTTTGTGGGGCGGCAGAACTGATATTTTATCAGTGCGTCTCATTTACGGTTATCCAAATCTTAGATATACTACAATAAATATGGTGCTTTTAGCCGCTAAAATTGTTGCTCTGTCAAAATAAGTCTGTTCTAATGTCTGCAGTTAAATTCCCAACTCGAAAATTAGTTTGTCCTGGGCTGTGTGGATTGTGTGGAACCACCTAGTCTAACATTGTTAAAATTACCGAAGTCAACTCTTGAAACACAAAAGTAAATAAACCACCCTTTAAAACCCGTTCGAAGACCACGTGTGAAAGTACGTAAAACTTATAAACAGTGACTGATGTGAGATCGCATCTCCGAAAGTCAGCTGAACATAAACAAACACCCTAATCTGGCCCCTTAAAACACGAGCCTAAACCCGCTCATCGAAAAACCACTCGAAAATAAGCCATATGAAATTTTTAAAATGGGTACCGACTTTGAGATGTAGCACGATAAATCAGAAGAATGTGCTAAACCAATTTCCTTAAGAACCAGTGTTACAACAAAGGCGGATCAATGATATGCTTATTCAGGATTAAACTTTAAATTGGACAAACGTTAAAGCTAAACAAGGCGAAAAGTTAGGCTACCGCTTACTTGGGATGGTGGTGTCACAGGTTTGACCACATAAAGGACAAATGAAGTTGACTAGACATTATTGCTAGTGAATAAAGTCAGGGCATCATTAGTCTTAAAGAAGTGCAAGTTGCAAGTTAATCAACCCAACCCACAAAAACATACAAATTCATTACGTGTTTTGTAGAGAGGAGACTTGCTCCGATCATTAGCAGATATTTTGAAAACTTTAGATGGTTTATTTAAACAGGGGGACACCTGCAATATGCATTACCGACAAAGCTAAGAAACGAGTGTGTTGGCCTGGTCTATTACCAATAGCGTTCCGGAAAAACAAAAAAACAATATCCAAAGTTGGTAAACGACTAGAAAGTTATTTGATACCTTAGATATAAGATGCTATTAAGATACTATCAAAAATCCAATTTTGGCCTACATACTATAAAACGAGATTCTGCTTTCTAAAGACAATCTGCTGATATTGACACCTTACGATATATTTCCGTGCGTGCTAAGCAAAAAAAAACCTGAGCCTTGCGGCTCACCAAGCAGTCAGCTGACTTGGGTAAGCATTTCCTGCAACCACTCCATTCACTTATTCGGTTGACAAACGAGACTAATCTGTGGTAATCTGCACGCAAGCATTCATTCCAGACGTAGGCAAACGCGAATTCAGACGATAATCTTGAATTCATCTTACATTACGACGCTCGTTCAGAGATTGAACAGCAAGGTTTGCTATTTGAACAAGCGTCTCGTCATGCCAAAATAAAACCCATTTATTTACATAACAAACGATATAGATTACATCGTCTTCGTCTCATCTTATCCTCCGATACTTCGTGCTGTATCTTGTAATAACAGATTTACCTTAGAAATGACTAGGACAACGTCAGCCGTTTTATCCGATGCAAAATGCTTATTCAATGCAAGAAGGAAGGTTTTTAGAGCAGTGGCTTGCCTTATTTGGAATCCTCATTACGATCACTACAAATTGCGTAACAGAAATTGAGTTAAGTATATTTCGAGATCTTATCAAGATACTAGGAACGAGCCGCCTACCGCCATTAGCCAAATGGCTGTAGACAGTTTTCATAGTCAGTTGAAAACTGCTCTAAGGGCTCAAGGTAATTCGACCAGCTGGACAGAAACATTGCCCCTTGTTCTGCTTGGAATTCGATCAAACCAAAAGGGAGATATTGGTACAACACTGAAAATTGCATGATAGGTCTCCGGTCTGTTATCACAAGTGACATGCCTTTCCTTCACAGTTGCGCTAAAAGCCTACGAAGATAATGAACAACCTGAAACTCACTTAACCTCGTTCGCTGATCACAGCTTTTCACATTTCAAAGGTTGTTGTCGTATTTTTACGTGTTCACTAGGCACGACTTTAAAGGTTCGCCGCATCAGCCTACTTAGGATGGACCATTCAGAGTACTCGGACGAGATGAAATGTCTTCATCTTCAAGTGCAATGGAAAATAAGTTGCCGTTTCCGTCGAGTACCTTAATCGGAAACTAAGGCACCTTCAAACGGAAGGCCTCGATAGAATTCAGCCCTCACTTTTGTCAGATTTAGAGGTATTGTTACAGCCACATGCTCCACCAAACGTGTCCATGGAACCAATCTCAGGGATATTTGGGGAGCCAAATTTGATCATCTCAGCTGTTCTTTAAGGAGCCCATGGTAAATTTCCGACTGGTAAGAGATCGTCGTTTTTTATAATCATTTACACCGATTTTGCAGATTTCCAATTCACACTTCTGTAAACGCACATTTCCTTACGTGCTAACTACATGCAACTTGGGTCTGGCAGTCCAATAATTGGTCAAACCTCTTTTTATTTTTCTCTGGTTATTTCGTACTGCGTCGTGCCCCAAAATGCTCACGTGTGGTAGAGAATAGGAAATTGTCTTTGCTCTATCGACCTTGTAGTTGTGTGCTACGTTCAAGGAGTTATAGTCCTACTCATTAAATTCCAAAGAATGACTGTTTGACCATCAAGTACAAAAACTCATGATGCTGTACTAACCTGGGAGGGGAAACTAGGATCTTGAAAGCACAGAAAGCGATGGCAAAATCTTGGCAAGAACTTGTACCTAAATAATTATCTGGGAGCGTCAGTCTTTTAATGATGAAGCGATGCTATATCTGTCTAACAGTTTCACAAATTCTCCTAACCTACTTGAACCCGAAAAAGTAGTGTGCTTTTAACCACTGCTAAAACATGGAACTAGTACTAGATCAAGGAATAAACTGCGAGCTTTACTCCCTTGCAATTTTCATTATTTGGCTGAGACTCACTACATTAATGAAAGCATCAAACTTTTGGAAGGCTGAAGCAATTTTAAGAAAACTCGGGATGCCCAAATGGTGAAGAGAGAACAATTGTCTGTAAGACTTCGGCGAAAACAGCTAGAACCTACTTACCTATCTCGGTGCATATTTTGTGTTTTCAAAACTACAAGCATGTATGGCACTAACTGGTTCTGTCGTCAGTGCTTAAAAGCCGGTGAATCAATTCGTAGTGTCCGAATTGGGGTGAACATTGAGAAGCAGATACTTGCGCGTCACCACGTGTCGAATAAGCAACCTGCGTTGTATGCGGACAATACACTAACCAAAGATTTTGACACTTCAAAACTCATCCCCGGCAATCATACTGCTTTTCATTCCTAACGTATCTGCGACCCTCGTGTCAATTAACTGCAGCGAGAAGAATGTACTTTGGGCAATTTTGCAGGTTGCGTAACTATGATTAAGATCTTGTTAAAAAAGGATGAGGTGCAAGACGTTCTCGCCTCCTAGAAAACCAGTCACTGAACACAAGACGCTAGTTAGTGCTGTCAGTGAAGGAATATGGTGATTAAACCATGTAAAATGATAGCCATTCAGAGAGAGGTGTATAATGAAGGCCAACAAGAATTAATTTGTGCGAATCAATATCAGAAGATGATTGGATAAAACAGTACTCCGAAGTAAACAGAGGCCTGGTAAAAGGCAGTCGGTTGAGTACAAGATTTGCAGCTTGGGACAAAACAAAAGAAGACAATTAGTTTTCTCTGTGCTTGAAATGGTTAGCTTTGAGACCGTTTTTGAGGGGTCCGCCGACACATTTAAATGCATAAAACGTGAAAGGTTCTTTTAAGGAATCCTTTTACCCATAGTCCTCATAATTGATATCATTCACTCACCGCCTGCTATAGGGTCCCCAGAGCAAAATGTACCTTGGGGTTTTTTTTTGCTGAAGAACATGATCAAAAGCCATCAAAATATTGCAACATTATCCAAATATTTGAAGTCACCGCTTATTATATGTGCATTTACACTATTATCAGATTTTAGTCCCAACAATGTTAAAGCGTAATTTTGATGTAAAGGAATTCAAGTTACACATCTTCTTAAACGCTTCACAAATTGCCCAGCTCGTTGGCCGCCATGCGACTGTTGAAGCTACGAAGTGGCAGGCGGAGAAGCGGAAGGCTGTCACTTTTCGCAAGTGTGGTGCCTGAACCAAACGCTAGTGGTCCACTGGCTCCCCACCAATCAAATTCAAGTGACCTAATTTCACGTAGATCTGCATTCACTGGACTTGGTCTGTCAATAAACTTTAAGAATCGAGATATTGTTCCACGACCTGTGATCAACCGCACTTAACTTTTGCGTGATGAATGCACCATTCAAAAATTGGCGAAAAAAATTACGGTAACCAAAGCTAAAATTTTATTGTTACCAGTACGCAACTACAAAAACAATTCTTTGGCTAAATTTTCAGCAATATTCCTTCACTCACTTCTAGGGAAGTAATGTCGTTATCATAGTTTACACACATATTTATGGGGTTCAATAGTTGGATGGAAAGTCTGGGGTGCAGAACTCGTTCAACAGATTCACTGAGTGCATTTCACCAAGAACAATATTACCTATTTTGCAGGTCATTTAACCTAATTAAAAATCTATTTACTACCAGATAGGCGATGGGACGAATTTAATTCATGTCTATTTTCGACGCAATATGACCCGATATCGGCGTATATTAGGCTTATTAAACCTAGTCAACAATTGAGGCCCTAGATACGCCTATTTCCATCGAGATCGTGACAATCAATGAAAGCTGACCTGCATTCGTGCGAATGCTACCCCATTGGTGACGTGTGATTGGTCGGGTGCTGAATTAGGCGCACTGTGTGCGTGCTGACTGGTTGGTGCGCGAGGGAGAAGGAGGAGGGTGATTCGTGGCAAAATTGTTAGCAGCCGTTCGCGTCCAAGCACCAGACGCCCCTGCTCTGCCGCTGTTGGAAAGCAGGAAGCAGCAATCGCACACGCTACTAGTGGAGGCTTGGACGCCGCCATCTAGAGAAGTACTGGGTGCGTGAGAGTGAGTGGGATATTTCTCTCTCGGTTCTTATCTTCCTCCACGAGGAAAGGCCATCTTATTCCATCTTTCTTTCATCGCAGCCTTCAGAAACCATGGCCTCCGGACAGAGACTGCTCGGATGGCACTTAAGGATTCTGCTTAGCTTGGCGGCATTCAGCCTGCTAACTTCAGGTAAGATACATGCGCATCAAGTATGTCTACAACTTAACACAGCCTATCTTATTGTTGTTTTTAGGAATTTATGCCAATGCCTTGACAGGCATTCTTTACACAGAATGTCTGGGAATCTGATTTGTGAATTCTTTGCCTTTTAGCTGAATCCGTGTCACGAATCAGACGACAAGTCACAGATACCGCAGGCGAAGACATCAACTTTGGCGGAGGTGACCCTGAGGAAAACGGTCAGCCTCCAGAATATGTAAGCAACATCTTTGGTATCAATCGGGAACTTCGGCTCAAAATCTAGCAAATATGCTTAAGATGTAACTGTCCTTATACCAACAGAAACTATTCACTAAACGCTTAAGAATGGTACCATGCTTACAGGAAATCGTCAGTTTTTTTCAGTAAATTGATATTTCCCCATGTTTCAAGCACACAAAATCATTTTATATGCAAAATGAAGTCAGTTCAAGTGTTTGATCTTTTTTTGAAGGTATAAGAGCAGACCTTGAAACGTCCACTCTCTGTGATCAGGTTTTTGTTTTTAAGACATTGGCAAAACTCCAAATTTCTCTTTTGAAATTGGATCAGAAATACAACGGCAACAATAAACTATACGGATAATTGATTAATTAATAGTTTCTAAGATTCCTAATTTGTAATTTGGGACATGACGCGCGTTCAAAGATCTCTTTGAGTCATATTATAATGATCAGTTTTGAAGTCGCAGTTATTTTGTCTTCACCAAACGAGTGTACTTCCTTTCCGTGCTATTGGTCTGCTGGATGTGTGCGTTTTAGAGCGTCAAAGGTCCTGGTCCCTATTTCCGAGGTCAAGATGTCCAAGGTCCTCGTGGTCCGCCGGGTGAGGTTGGCCCCCCTGGTCCCCAAGGTCCGCAAGGCCCGATGGGGCCCCCGGGTCCACAAGGACCTCCCGGTCCACCTGGAAACGATGGAGTTCGTGGGCCCCGTGGACCACCTGGTGAACCTGGAGCCGATGGAATCAACGGAGCCGATGGCGAACAGGGCCCGCCTGGTCCGCCCGGCCCGATTGGACCACCTGGTCCCATGGGCATCATCGGAGCTACTGGCACGCAAGGTCCTGCCGGTCCCATGGGTCCAAAGGGCGACAAAGGCTCACCCGGTGCGGACGGACCCATGGTTAGTCAAACACACTACCCTCAGATATTCCATACTGATGTTGCCTTTCATATAAGTCAATTGCAACTGTATCAAGAAGTTTCGATCAAATTATTACACGCATTTATATCTTTTTTAAGTCCCCACTTTTCCTTCCATCCGTAATTTAAATTTGGGTCACGTGGAACTTATGACAGCATTGTTTTTGCTACTTTGAGCTTAAAAATAATATGTCGTGCTTGCATCACCATTATGTGCAAAAATGCATGCACAATGTAGGTCACAGTACCAGCAATATCTAGCCAACATGAGTACTTAACTTTTTTCATGTATCATTTTGTTGCAACATAAGACAGTCGTTGTTTTCCTAGGCCTTGCTCGACCAAACGTGTTGAATAATGGAACTTATACAAGCAGAAATTACGTAAAACCTTGCGATATTCAACAACTTTTTTGTAAAATCAATTTGGTTATTGGTGTTCAACAAATCTAGCAATAATAAAGTTAACGAACCTGATAAAACAGAAGGCCTTTCCCGAGTTGTTTGCACTGTCAAATTTGAGTAATGAGATAAATTTTTTGTTACATAAATCTAATTGCAGAGGATTTTATTTTTTTCCAAATTAGCATAGCCGCACTGCGTTGCATGGTGCATCGCCAGTGTAAACATGAAACATAATGATTTTTTAAATGTTTTCCATGAATTGATCTCTCATTAACACCAGTTTGGGTAACGAATCTTACGTGCGAAACTGCACGATCCATTTCAGGGTGAACGCGGTCCCGTAGGCCCACGTGGCCCCACTGGTCCTTCTGGCCCACGAGGTCTCACTGGTATTCCCGGACCACAAGGTCCAATAGGTCCTGCTGGAATGCAAGGCGCCGACGGGACAATGGGTCCCACTGGACCCCCCGGTCCACGTGGTCCATCTGGGAGTGTTGGCATGACTGGTCCAGTTGGTCTCAAGGGTGACGCTGGTGAAGTCGGCCCAATTGGTCCTATGGGTGAACAGGGAGAAGCTGGTGCCGATGGAATCCCTGGTGCTCCTGGCGAATCCGGTGAAATAGTATGCCACAGCTTTTGCTTCATCGATTTTACCTCAATTTCCCCCAAATTTATAGTTTTCAGTTCTCAGTAATCTACAGGCATTTATGATCTCCTGGCAGATGGCCGATGGCTATGCGAGGATACTCTAACTGGCCAGCATCTATTAAATGGAATTTTTTTATCCTAGTTTATAATTCGTCTGCCTTAGCTACCTGCCACTTAATAGAAATAAAATTATAATTGCAAAACTCGGAAACTAGTATTAACCTTTTACAAGCAGTTATTCGAAGATGTTGTTTATTTAACGAAGTGCCCTCGAAGTCGCTTGGACTGGAATGCAAAAACCAATGTTCTGGTCAACTTCTCTGATCAGCCAAATCGATTTTTTCCTCCTAGGGTTTGCCAGGCAAGGATGGTCCCGTAGGAGCAAAAGGAGAACAAGGTCCACCTGGTCCCGTAGGTTCTCCCGGCTTAGCCGGACCACGTGGTCCTTCTGGACGTGCAGGTTTCGTCGGGGCTCCTGGCCTGCGTGGTGACCAGGGTCCCCCCGGCCCTCAGGGTCCGGTCGGTGCTCCAGGCGCAGCTGGCAGCGTCGGCGATGCCGGAGAACGCGGACGTCCTGGCCGCCCCGGTGACATCGGCAAGCCTGGTCTTCGTGGACCACCCGGTCCATCCGGCGAACGTGGCGACATCGGTTCCCCCGGCTCTCCTGGTATTCCTGGAACTCCAGGTAATTCCGTCTCCACCTCATACTTAACTAGTGGCTTTGCATTAGCGTTAAATGCTAAGAAAATACCTGGGATTGTAACAAAAAAATGTTTCATCATTAAGTTACGTATTTGAATAAAAGTATTATTCGGTATTCTGTGACAAAGGAAACCTACAGGGCTGTGTGGCAGCCAGAAAAATTAAAAGAGGGTCTAAGATCAAGATAGGTCTTTGTAATTGTGTAGGTAGATGGTATGCGCAACTACAATGCGTTCAACAACCAGCCAGAAGGAGTCAGTGCATTAGATGGACAGCTGGAGTTTGAAGGATAAGCATGACTCAATTCTTTCAAAGACTGTGAATGACCTTCACTAGTCCATTTTTCTCGTGTAGCCTCCCAATTCTAGTTACAGCCTACAAGCATTAAAAGTGTGACAACAGAGTGAGTACCTGGTTCGTCGCTGTTCGCGTTAACCACAAAAGGATCTAGGTCATCTGCGTTTGTGCAGTCCGTTTCCACAAACCTCTTCAAAGGTATTTTGTGTAGGGAATGTTAGATGCTGCTGAAATACTTGAAGTCGAATATATAGTCTACCAAATTCTGACCCGTATTGCATTACCTGTTTTTAATTCACCCTAACTAACTTATGTCGATTGCTACATTTATCCACCAAGTGAAATGAATGAAGTGGCAGGAAGACTGAAGGTGGTGTTTTGAATTTGCCTGTAGGTATTGATGGGCTGCCTGGCCAACCCGGTGTGGCAGGTAAGGACGGTGAGCCGGGACCCATGGGTGCTCGTGGTCCACCCGGTCCTCCTGGTTCCCCCGGAAAACCCGGCGAAGTCGGTCCACATGGTTACCCTGGTTCCCGAGGTCGCGACGGAGCTCCGGGACCACGTGGTGACGTCGGTGAGCGCGGACCTGAAGGAAAACCCGGTGAAGAGGGTTCACCCGGTCCCGATGGTCTTACGGGCCAGCAGGGACCCTCCGGACCTTCTGGCCCCTCGGTAAGTTACTAACACGGCCGAATTCTCTTCTTCTTTATGCCATTCCTCTTCAACTCATCTCAATCCTCAACCCATCCCTTTTTCTATATAAAAAATAAACTTCGACAGCACTTATGCACACCAAAGTGAACACGGAAATTGCTTACTGTCATTTACCCCTAGTGATAGCTTTGTGAAAGAAAGGCAATACCCTCATTAAATACCTGAAAGAGCTTTGCCAAATAGGAACATTCAAAACCATCAAACCATATTGAGATACAAAGTTTTGTGAAAACTGGTTTTATTAAATCCATTTACTTCATTTTACGAAATAAAACGTGCAAAACTTCCAATGCTTAATTCAAATCATAAATTATGTCATCTTTTCCTTCAGTTCTTATTGATTACTTTAGTTAGCTTCTAATCAAAGATATAAGGCAACATTTCATCATTTTACTCGACTACTTGCTTTGTTCAGCTTAGAAGTTTGGTTTAACTTTAATAGGGTCCCCGAGGTGAGCGTGGTCCACAAGGCGAGCGAGGTGATGCCGGTGAAAAGGGCGATAAAGGTTCCCGAGGTCCGGTAGGTCCCCGTGGTGTCCGTGGAAAGCCTGGAGCTCCTGGTTCTGAGGGTCCAAGCGGTCCTGATGGTGAGGCCGGACACGAGGGTCCGGTTGGACCTGCTGGACCATCTGGACCTCCTGGACCCGTGGGACCCCCTGGAAACAAAGGTCCCTCAGGTCGAGATGGGCAGGCTGGTGAGGCTGGCAACATTGGACCACCTGGACCTCCTGGGCCTACCGGAGAACCAGGACGTCCTGGTGAGCGTGGTGAGGTTGGTCCTCAAGGATATCCAGGCCTTCCTGGTGCCAAAGGTCCTAGGGGAAAGATGGGACCTCAGGGCAATCTTGGACAAGCTGTAAGCCCTTAAATGTTCGTGCTTTAGCTGCATAGATAGATTCGTTAAACTCTCCAAAATTGTAACGACTGTGTTAAACGAATACAACCTCTTTTAAGCGCATTTTGCCTTTTTAAGGTAGAATTAAAACATTTTAGTATTCACCCAAGTTATTTGCTTTCACTCAGACATTTTCCATGTGGAACCCCTACAAATTATTTTTTAAAAACTAATTAGAATTTGGTAAATCGCATACAAAGACAGCTGACGACATGCCAAAGGGGTTAAGGCAAATATTGATTTTATGCTGTGGATTTGAGTGGCGAATTGCTCTCCTTCTAATAGGGTATCCAAGGTCCTTCTGGTGCTCGCGGAATGCCAGGACCTCGAGGAAGGAAGGGACCAGCTGGCAAACCAGGTCCCGACGGACCTCCGGGTCGCGATGGGAATCGCGGCCCAGCTGGCCCGCCCGGTGAAGAAGGCCCTCGAGGTGCTACCATGATCCAAGCTCCTCGGATTACACTCACGGGACCCCCTGGACCTCCTGGTGATACTGGCTACATGGGAGCTCAGGGTCCAGTCGGTCCTATTGGTAAGTTGGCTTACTGAAACTCTATCAAATTTTGTACTCAATGTGGCCTTTACGTGATAATCTTGTCAAAAATCGTATGCAAAGGTAGGCGAGTTTTTTATGGTCGCTAGGTCATGGCGATTATAATGGAAACAGCAGAAAACTGCATTGGCAACCTTTGACGATCCATTTGTATTGTTTTGTATCAAAGATATATTCAATTTCATAGTACTTAATTTTTTTTGCATCGAATGCACACATCACTTTCTTCTGGCTCTCTGCATTAAGGTCCTCCTGGTGACGTGGGTGCAGCTGGACCACCAGGAGCCAATGGAGAAGATGGACCTCCTGGTCCAGAAGGGCCCCGGGGCCGTGACGGCCTTGATGGGGCTCCTGGTCGGCCGGGCAAACGCGGCCGTCCTGGACCTCGTGGACTTGATGGCCCACCTGGTCCCGACGGTTTGCCAGGCGACGATGGACCAATGGGACCCCGCGGCCCCGATGGACCAATGGGAGCGGCTGGTGAACGAGGACCCCCGGGCCCCGACGGAGCACCAGGTGAGGACGGAGCTAAGGGACCCACTGGCCCCACCGGCCCAATTGGTTTCCGCGGTCCCGCCGGACATGCTGGCAAGGACGGTGCTAAAGGTCCTGTAGGTGATGCTGGTCCTGATGGCCCCAAGGGCCCACTGGGAACAGCCGGACCCCTTGGAATAGATGGACCCCCAGGCCCTCAGGTGAGAAGTAACATACATGCCTACCATAAAGACACAAAAAAAATTTCAAACTTCTTAAGTTGACAAACGATTTTAAGTTTAATAATCATCTGAACGTGGAGTCAAACGTTTTAGTCATGGAATCCTCACAAACTGCCGTCATTGTGTTTGAGGTAAATGATATCTAGCTGATATTCTCTAGTAGTTTAAAATTAAATAAAAATCATTTCTTGTTTATTGATAATAAAAATGTAGTGTCATTTTCCTTTTAGCATGTTCTACTAAATTAATTAGTTCCTAAAATAAAAAAGGTCAAGTTGCTTTGTGAAAAATGCAATTTCAGGAGTTGTTAAATGTCTAAAAAAACTTGGACTTCGTCTGGTAACACTGTGAAACTGAAATTGTGAGGTTTTGTTGATAGCTAACTCCATATTTACCGACTTATTCAGGTGTCACATTCGCTCGAACATATCTAAATGCAATATGCTCACCACAACTTAATGGAAAGCTGCATCCCATTCCTATTCTACAATAACGCAAAAGAAGGGTAAGAGAGCGGTACGCTGAAATGGACACGATATGTCATTTATCTGTCAGTGAGTGTGTAGGAGTGGGGGCCTGTCTGTGGAGCGCTTGTAAACAATGGTGAGCCATAAATGACAACGGGCTTTCTGTAAACTTGATTGAAAAAGTGTTCTCTCCCACGCTTCTACTGACGGTCCAGCACAAGCTTAAATTTTCGCACCGTTAGCAGAACTAATGCTTATTTGCATGGTGTATAATGCTGTTCAATCCTAAATTAAACACTTCATTATAGGGCAAACCTGGTCAAACTGGTCGTACGGGTCCACAAGGTCGACAAGGCCCTGCCGGTAAACCTGGTGCGCAAGGCAAGGCCGGAATAAAAGGTAAACAAGGAAACGAGGGTCCCGCGGGCCCCGCAGGACCTCCAGGTCCGCCTGGTCCCGCTGGTGAACCAGGTGATGTAGGTCCCATGGGTGAGGGGGGTCCACAAGGTGTCCAAGGTCAACCTGGAGAGCGTGGTCCTCAAGGCCCACAGGGTGAAGCAGGTCAACCTGGTCCAGACGGTCCACAAGGTCCAACTGGTCCTATTGGCCCAACTGGTCCTGTCGGTGACCGTGGAGAACCTGGAACCGATGGAGTTGATGGACAGCCCGGGAAACCTGGTGAGCGCGGCCCACAGGGTTACCCCGGCCGCGCAGGATTCGATGGTCCCTCAGGCCGTCCTGGAAAAGCCGGACCAACTGGACACAAGGGGTGGATGGGTCCTCCTGGTGACAGTGGACCGAAAGGTCAGCGTGGCGCCAAAGGTCCTCCAGGATCTAGGGGACATCAAGGTCCAACTGGCCTTCCTGGTGAACAGGGTTCACAAGGCTTTGAAGGACCAGTAGGCGAAGTTGGTTATCAGGGTGATCAGGGTCCAACAGGTCTGCCTGGGCCCGCTGGTCGAGATGGTCCACAAGGCCCAGCTGGACCAGTTGGTAATCAGGGACCTCCAGGACCTCCTGGCCCTCCAGCTATCACTTACGACATGGCTGTCAATGATGACGCCGCTCAGGCCCAATTTATTGGCACTGACAGTATTGATAAACCTGACGGCTCACGAGGACTGCCAGCAAGAACCTGCAAACACTTAGCAAAGGTCAATCCACATTTGCCGGATGGTTATTACTGGATTGATCCGAATTCGGGAAGCATTAAAGATGCAATCGAAGTCTACTGCCACATCCAAACCGGTGAAACCTGTGTGTCGCCATCTACTGAAGAGTTTGACGGCAAAACGTATGACCAAGCAGTACCCGGCGAGGAACATTGGTTCAATGAACTTCAGGGCGGCAAACTGGTGAGTTTATCACATTTCTGTGCCTTTCATGATGGTTTGCGTCTGCCTTTTTGCCCAGCTTGACCTTTTGTGTTTCAAACGTGATGTAACACGAAACATGTAAGAAAAATTATTTAAAGTCAATTTCCTGTTAAATTAAGGGCTGTTTTATGCATATTAGGATTTCTTTTTTAAGTGGGTCTGACGAACTAGAACCCGTCCCTGTTCAGAAACGAGTAGGAGAGCAGGCGATCTGTCGCACAAACCTGCCCTGGTGAAGTGTAACTTTATTTTTTGCCCATATACAATATTTGGTTTTTTTTCAGTTCACATACAACGTCCCAGGGGACCAACTTGCATTCTTGAAGATGCTCAGTTCCAAGGCCAAACAGAATGTAACAGTAATGTGCCGTCAGTCATCACAGGACGAGGCGCGCCTGCTTTCTGACAACGATCGGTATTTCTCGCGCAGTGGGGAGCTCTTCCGCTACAATGTTGTCCGAGACGAATGCAAAGTATGTTTTCTGTCTGTCAATCAGCACTCTTAGAAATTATTGTACCGCCAGTTTGTAGTGACTAATAAGTTAATTATGAACAGAAATGATACTGTCTACCAAGTCAAAAGTCGAAAAAACTTGAAATGATGTAGTCGTACCAAAATATCAGCTCTGTTTTAAAATAAATCAACAGTATATTAAAAGTGCTTCACAGCCATATATCCGTCAAATTTTTTTGCGAAACAAACGAATTCTAAAACCACACCCACATGAATGATTTTTAACTCAGACAAAAAGAAAAAGTCTAAAAGTAGAGTAATAAAACCGTTCTGAATGATTTTTTATCATTGATTGTTTGGTGTGGAAAGCAGTTAATTTGTAAGTGATTGCACAGACGTCAAACCACCGAGGGCCATGCTTACTCTTACATATATTTGATTCTGTTCATGGAAAGAATGGAAATGCTATTTTTAAAAATATGGTATATTTGACTTATTTCATTGAATTATTCTCTATTTTTCAGTCCAAAATCAAGCGAAAACGATTTTTTGACTCATGGTCTTAACCCTACTAAATTCCTGTTTGTTGGTTTTTAAATTCTCTCCTAAGTTATGAATTCTCAATTTTCCAGATTTATTCCTGCTTAGTACGCAGCTAACTTATCATGTTGTTTTAGTTCATGAAGGATACTTACGGCTACACTGTAATGGAGGTAATGACTCGGCCGCAAAGACTTCCAGTGCGCGATGTCTCCTTCAGTGACGTAGGGGGCAGTTCAAAGGAAGTTGGCGTGAAATTGAGTCCAGTGTGCTATGCCTGAATCTCTTCCTACGCAGCCACAAACTTGACGACAACAGCATTCAGAACAATGAAGCACTGGGACTTTTCATTTCTTTCTTTATTTTTTGGCTGATCAAATCCTCTGCATTTGTGTCAGTCACAGTCTTCTCTTAACCTCCGAACCCCGATTCTGGTGTACATTAAAAATAAAAAAAATTATTCAACCTCGATGTTGCTTTTAGCTAAATAAAATAAACATGCCAAAAAGTGTTTAAATTTATTGAAATTTAAGGTTGTGTCAAAATGCCTTATGCAAGTTGATCGACAGGATCTATTTCATGTGTGGTCAGGTTTCGTTTTTCAATGGTAATATGAAAATTGATAGTCTGCTAACGGGACCAGGAGAACGCACCGATTTATTTACTTTCTTAAAATGATGCATCATTAAGTGAGTGATCTTAGATATAAAGCACTTGTGAACAAAGGAAAACAAAGTTCAAATATGGTCGACCGATGCTTACACTCGTGATTCAAAACTGTTCATACAAATTTCTACCCATGATATTTGCTGGCAGTCCATTGCATCACGATTAATTGCAAACGCGTTATTTTATTACAATTAAATAATTACATATTCACGTAATGCACAAGGTGTTCAGGAAAAGACAACGTGCATAATAAGAGAAACGTCAACATAACTTAAATGCGTTAAAACCAACTCAGATATGCACGCTGAAATTTGAAAATTTATTTCAATACGGCCAAAAAAAATGCCTAATCAAAATCATTTATGAATATTCCAACTTTATTCCTTTAGTTTCTACTTTAAAATAGGAACTTAGGCAGTTGGCAAAAAACACTAGAAACCCACATTGAATTGAAGCACATTTAAAAATAGTCAGTTCATTAAGATATGCATGCTTTGAAGTTAGGGTAGTTGATTACATCTACCGTCTTCTATAGCCAAGTTTCCCTGACCCCATAATAGCCAATTTAGTTCCTGATTTCGCAACTGTCCTTTCTTAGCTAACTTGGCTTGCTTTCAAAAAAAACCTAATACCCTTTGAACTGTTTAGATCGATGCTCTTGAAAAGAAAGATGAAAGACGTAGTAATTTAAATTTACTTTTAGTTCGTGATTATTTCCTTTTTTATAAATTAGGTGAGTTTTTTAACGTTCGACTTTTTATAGCTTGATTCCGGTTTATTTTATGATTCAAGTCAGATTATGTAGATATTATTTTTGATTAAAGAAAATTTGCGCTAATCTAATAAAGACACGTAAATTGTCAAAAGCAATGTTTTGGCTTTATTTATTAGCAAACTTCAATTTTGTTTTGAGCCACTCAAAGTATCGGAATTTACCAATCGCACGTGGCTGCGCTTTTTAAGCGTACGGCCTTGGGTTCGTTTTCGCTCCGAGTTTTTGCTTTTCTGTCCCGCTGTTAGCCAGCAATATCTATTCCAATAGCATAGCATGTGGCATACCCTCAAATGTTCTCTTTTAAATTTGATATACATTCTTGATGTCTTTTTTGAATGCACTAGACTTTATGTCTAAATTGTCAATCCGAAAAACCACATATTTTGCAAACAAACTTAGGTATCTTTTGTGTGTTAATATTTCCTGTCAATTGATTGTTTGTCGAAAAATTTTGCGCTTCAGCGTTATAGCAGCACGTTTTTCTTGTAACTATATCTATAGCCCTCATTATGTTGGTTTCAGACGCTTTGAGCCCCATGATTCTGAGTAGTGGCCTTTTGATTTTTATCTTGCCGTTGTACATAATACAACAAACGCGCTGATTTATTGTATGATGTCTTGATGGGTTAATGTATTTGTCTATTTTGTGGTTAGCTATGCAGTCTCTAACTGAGATCAAGTCCTCATTAGACTTCGTCGAACAACTTCCTTCTAGTCTTTCTGACCCTTCTGCAGTTTCGCACCTGGAGAGTCTCATCGCCTCCTGTAACATCCCGTCTGACCCTTTAAATGGCCAATCAATCTTCTTATCTAAAGTAGCTGCGAAACTTTTCTCTAACACCACAACTTGGCCCGCTTGTTATGAACTCATTTTGTTCGCTACAAAAGCTGCTCGTGCGGATATTTGGTTTGAAATAATGGTTTTGCGGCTTCAAACAAAGTTGGACGCCGTGGAGACTCGGTTCTGTATCAGTCTATTTACCAAATATTTCCTCGACTTCAAGCGTCTTCCTGACTTTTTTTCCACTTTAGTCGACATGGTGAAGAGTGTTCCGGAAGGATCTCGCTACTCTCAGCTGGTTGAAAAAACGCATAAATTGCTTAGCCTACCTACAATCATCATCAATTTAGCTAAGGGCACTGCCTTACCACAACCATTTACACCTGATGCATATTACCCATTCATTATGAAGCAGGCTGCTGATATCGATTATCCGCTCCTGAGTTCAGTACTTCTTTCTCAATCGTGCTTCTTTGGCTTTGGCAGAGAAGTGTGGAATGTCATAATTCAGCAAGTTTGCCGCTCACAGCGAACCTCGAGCAGCTGGAGCTCAGCTCTATCTCTAACTCCGGAAAAGACACTAGAGCCCACTTTGGTTCCCCTCCTTAATCAGGCCTCGCACCCTCATCTAGTAGCGCTTTTTCTTTCCTCTACTCTTTTTTCGTCAAAGCAGGACCAGATTATTCGCTTATTTCATCGTCTCCTACTGTTTCGGACGTTTTCGACTTCTAAAATACCAGTTAATATTTTTGGCTGCTTGCAAGAACTTTCAACTGACGACCTAACCATTCGAGTTGAGAGGGATCTTGGTTTGCGGTTACTTGAGACATGGTCCGATTCAACGGCTCTTCAACGCACCTCGTCTAAACAACGCATCTACCTCAGTCAGGCGCTTGTTGCCTGGGTCAGGGCCTTTCGAGAGAAGATTATTCACTCTCCGTCGTATTCAACCATGGTGTCGTATGTGTTGAGCGGAGTAACCGCCCATTTAGCCTGCAATGTTGAAGAGCAGAGGGTGTTAGGAATGGCTGTTGGTGAGTGGTTAGTGAAAGAGTTTCACATCGGTGGCGAGGGAGGAGAAGGGGAGGGCGAATGCAAGTCACTTATGCTCAAGTTTGCCTACGAAGAGAATGATGCAGTCAAATTGGTGAAACCATTGTTCGAACCTCTTCCACCATACCAATCTCCCGAGAGTTCTCTGGATGAAAGTAAGCTGTGGCTCTTTAAATAACACGCTGGTTCAACTCCGTTTTTACCCAAATTGTGGCTGCGACTACAATTTCACTTTTGCGACGGCTAATTTATCCATGGATAACAAGGTTTCTTTAGTTTCGATTTTTCCTTCACATTGTAACCTTCTCACTTTTCATTTCGCATCTCTGAGTCCTAAATCTATAAGTTTTGAATTTTTAAATGTATATGAATTGTTTAATTTACCCAAAAGGTAGTATTATTTACGACCTATGCGTTTCCTATAATTCCTAATCTAAACGATTCCTCCTAGTACCGATATTTTAACAGTCATATTGGTTATCAAGTATAGAAAACTTAGCATTGAAATGATTTCGAAGGCAACAACTGACATTTTGGCGAGAATTTATAAATCCGATGAGCACTCCAGTTTCTATTTTAAGAACCTTCATCCTAAACTCAGCATTTTCTATTAATTTACATCTTTGCCTAACTGTATTTCAGGAATGTTTAACCTTAACACTTAATATTTCAATCCCTAAATTTATTTTGAAAGACAACTTGATAATGGCTCCATAGGTGGATTCTTTGTGAATTTCGTTAATTATTGCAAAGATTTACCGTTCATCTGCTTTGAAACTTGGCCCGACTCCATCTTTGGGGTTCCAAGTTTCACTTGTGTGGAGCGAATTAGATTTTGAGCCCTGCTACACCTAACCGAAATCGCATTAATCGTTAATGAAAATTTGATGATGCCTCTGGTCTTAAACAAGCGTCTTGTATTTTTTTAGATGTCGAGGCTCTTTTTGCAGAGGCCTCGGGATTGCAATTTACGCCTGCCGAAAAAGCATCCGACGGTCTGGACAGCGATGATGATCCAGACGATGAAGATGACAAATTCCAACCGCTTCCACCCTACACCAGTCCCGCCCCCTCCGGTTGGCCTTTTCGAGCTCGTCGCCCTCGCTATCTCCGTGAATGTCTCGACGGTTTAGCAGGCGCCAGGCATGAGTCGGACGAGTTAGCCAGTAACGAGATCGCTCTGTCCTGCTTCGCTCATGCTGAGGAACTGATCTACCGCCATAAAGGCTGTGCCGTGGATGAGGTTGCTGTCTCCTTCGCAGACGCATTGCTCCACACAGAACCGCCCGCGTGCCCCCACACAGACAAGGTGAATGCATCGCGCCATCAGGCCCTGGTCGCACTAGCGGTCGTCTCGCCGAAACGGACGGCTCGTTATCTCACCGGGCAGTTCGTACAGCCAGGCCTGGCAGTCAATCAGCGTCACGCAATCATCGCGGCTCTCACTGACGCTACGTGCACCCTAGGCTCCGATTTCGTTCCGGTCGCCGGTGACTTCTTTTTCCCCATGATACGAGCAGCCGATGGATTGCTTGGCGACGGGAAAGACGTCTACGCTCACCTCGATGACGCCCTTTTAGCCCGCCTTGTAGGCGCACTCGGGACGATGTATGCTTGCGCACGGAACTCTCAAAAACTTCCGCGTATGGCAGAGGGCCTCCTGGCTCTTGGATCTCATCTCTTGACGAAAGCCCACGACCCTGCCGTTCGGAGATCGAGTCTGTCGGCTCTTGGAGTTGTGCTTACCATGACACCTGTTGTTGTGTTTGCCGCAAATCAGCAACTCTTATTTGGGTCCAATTTGTCGGAGAAGTTATTAAACACATTCCAGAACGACACCGATCCCGAATGCCAAAACCTCGCAGGTGCCGCGCTATCCTCTCTGCGAGATAATATTCTCGAACTGAGTGGTTGCGATTTGAGGAGACTTTCTCTAACAACTTGACTCGATTGTATTTTTTTATATCATTATTTTAAAACAACTATTTTGAATACTGCTGCGCTTCTCTACTTTTGTTGATGTTTTTTTAGATTATTCGATCCACCGTTCATTGTTAATTGCCTGTATTGTTTAAACATAAAAAGTGGGAAATCTTTGTCTGTCGTGCAGTAGGTCTTTTTTCCGAGCTGATATTGCTGAAGTAGTCGGCCACACCTAGACTGACTGGGAACAAGCGGCTTTGTTTTATTATGGTCGAACAGTCACTTGCAAGAGTGATGTTGGGTTACAAGACGTTACGGAGTCGCATCTCCTCCTTGGGTCATTTTGCTCTGAACCCTTAATTGACATCCTGTTTTATCTGCCGTTGATTGAAGAATGACCGCTTACCCAAAAAAAATGATCTCAGTCCTGTAACAGGCTGATCCTTTTGCTGCATTCGTGTTGTCCGTGCCTCAATTCCTGTAATGTAACAGTTGAACTTGGATCAAATCAGTTTTTAGCAGCATTTTAGTTATGAGAAGTACAAATAGATTGCTTGGTAACCTTCAATTCCTTCAATTTGTGGTTATTTAGCATTCGTATATTGACAATCGTATACCAGAATTCAGCGTAACCGCATTCTGAGACTCGTGGCCGAGTCGTGTAACCGGTTTAGTTGGCGTATCTCTGCCTTTTCTTAACTGGGGACGGCATGATTTCTCTCGATATAAACATTCGCTGCCGATTTTTCCCGGTTTCGTTTACTACTATAGATCTGAAGCGGGAATTCGCCACGTAATTATCGAGACTGCATCGCCAGCATGTATCATATTCATCCATAACGAGTATATGTAACATTAATGCTGCACTTTTGTCCTCAAAATTGTCACAGTGTGCGCACCTGTTGTAATTTTGACTGAATTTTATCCTATGTAACTACAAAAAGGTGCTACAGCTTTCTCATTAAACAATTTATCGTCTAATTTTTAACTGAATGGGTTTAAGGGAATACTAAAGGTGCAATTTAACGAAACATGACAACAGTGGCGGGGCTGATTAGGAACGAAGCGGCCCGAATCCTTCCATTTAAAAGTGCAACTTGTGGGTTCCTTAGGTGGAGCCGGCCTCGTCAGCATGGAGTGTGATGAGCCAATCGAGGTCACGCCAGGCAAGAACGAAGGAGAGGATTGTGAGGAGGGAGTAGTGCCCAAACTTGCGGCTGACGCGACGCACCCCTCGCAACGTCCGCATCCCCAACAAACCGTCCACGCCGAGGTCCGCCTAACTCGCAGCAGCACTGCCTCGCGCGAAACCGTCTGCCAGTTAATTGACGAATACCTGCGAGCCAAGGGCACCTGCAATGTGCCCACCGTCCTCGAGTCTTCTTTCAGCGAGGACCTTGGGACCATGCAGTCATTCCTTAAGGATAATATCGCCTCCATAAGTGTACGTTTGTAACTATCCCATCATTGCAATACGCTACTTTCTTCAGCGAGTTGAAGTATTCTATTTGTAGAAAGCATGACACAATGCGTTATCGTAGCCGACGTTTCACAGTTGCAAACGAATCGCGGAGTGAAGGATCCTCACTGTTGTTGCTCTTCAGGCGCCTTTCTACTTCTATTTGTGAAGGAGAGTCTGTAGAAATAACTCAGCCGATAAATTCGTCTTTTTGTGTTCGCTGCTCTTAACCAAAGCAGTAGAGCCCCTGAATCCAGCCTTATTGGCTGAAAGCGCCAAATTTAGACCTCTCATCGTATAGGCCGGGTTCTCGACTTAATCCTTTTCTAAGTAGGCCCTTCTCTGAACCAATCGTAATTAAGGCAGTTGACTTCACCGTTTTGCTGTAGTTAACCACAGACGACACTGATTCCCCGACCGGCAAGGACCAGATCTCGGCCTCGCTTAATCTGCAGACGGCGCCACTGATGATTCACGTCTACCGCCTAGTTTCCGGCGACGAAGCCGACCCCACCCACGAGACCATCGAGGTCTCCTCGGAAATCATCAGAGGAGGCACACGATGGGCTCTCCCCTCTCCCGAGTTTGACGGACTTTGGGACACTCTTGTCTACGATTCAACAGTTAAGAGAGACCTCCTCAAGTACTCAGAGTCTGCTCTTCTATTTGCCGATTTCGAAGTAAGTGCGAGCAAATTTCTTCTAGAGCACTTTCACAAATATCTCACATCCTTTGCAGTTTGACTAGTCTTCGATTATGCCTTGTTTTCACGAGGTATTCGTAGCATTGGTGTTCATTTTAAATTGCAACCTATAGGAAATCCTGCAACCGAACTGTGATCGCTGGGAGGTGTTGCATTTTGCGCATGTCTAGTCTCGTTCACTCTTTTTACGGCGGCCACGTCCTATTTCAGGTCAGTCAGCACGTAATTGTCTGGAATCGTGTCATATTTCTCCACGGTCCCCCAGGAACCGGCAAAACGTCCCTCTGTCGCGCACTTGCCCACAAGCTCTCTATCCGCCTCTCACATCGCTTCACCTCAGCGGCGCTCATTGAAATCAACACTGTTAACTTAATGTCCAAGTGGTTTTCTGAGTCCGCTCGTCTCGTTTCGCAGATGTTCTCCTCAATTCTAGAATATCTTGAGGATCCAGATCATCTTGTCTGTGTACTTGTAGACGAGGTAGAAAGTTTGACCGCAGTGCGGAAGTCAGTGGCCGCCGCTTGTGAACCGAGCGATGCCATCCGAGTTGTCAATGCCGTCTTGACCCATCTGGATCAGGTTTGTAAAATCTGCCACAAACTACCTGCTCATAAAATATCAGTACCTTGTATATTTTGATCATTTGTAGTTAAAACACCACCCAAATGTCTTGGTGATGGCTACGTCCAACGTGACCGATGTATTGGACCCTGCCTTTCTTGACCGAGCAGACATCCGTGCGTATATCGGGCCTCCATCAGTTGCGGCCATCTACGCAATATACTCTTCCTGTTTGAATGAGTTGATTAGAGTGGGTCTAATTGAAAGACAAAAGTCTGGCCTGCTGAGCTACCGCGTTCTGTCGGCACTGCAGTTCACTGAAAGCCAGGTGAGCTCGTGCATTTTTTAAAAAAAAAGTCAATTTCCACCTTGTCATGGTGATTATTTGCGCACTACCTCCGTTATTTACGTTGTTGTGATCAATCGATTGCGGCTACTGTCTGGAGCAGATGCCTCGGTCATGCAACCGCGATGTCCACTTGGGGCTGCACCATAATTGTGAACCGTCGATCCACCTAGTTGACCAATTCGCGACCGAACCCAGGGCACTAGCCACTGACCTTAACTTTCACGGATCTGATAGCACGATCAGGCTTGCTGCACTTCGGCTGATGCATGGGTTCTTTTCCGGTTTCGTGGTAGACAAATTGATCCGGATTGGCTAGTATTTTGGATCACTTATGTTCAAGTTCATTTGTCGACTTTTTTGGACTTTTGTGGCGGTAAATGAACGTCTTGATGGTTGTTCTACGTTCTCTTTATTTAGGCAGGACGTAAGCACTTTTGCCATTGAAAATTGCCCGTTACAACAGACACTGGGAAAAGATTTGCCGTGCTGCGATCGCCGTTGCCAAAACTGAGTATTCGCCGTCCAAATTTCCCATGAGGTGGGTGTGATTTGGAACAGCTCTGGTCGCGGTTTCGCCATCCGCCTTGCTCCATGCGGTTTCTCGGCATTCCAATCCTTTGGCCAGTTTCGAGCTGATATTTTCCACATTTTTTGCACTACCGTAATTAAAAAGGTGCTTCCTAGTTGTATCGGGCCACTTGCAGTTCACTCGTGTTTGTTTCTCACTTGTGGTGAGTTAGTGCCTTAACAGTCAACAGGCGACTTGTCGTCATGGGGTCTTGGTGGATTCACGGAAACGCTGCACTGTGCCTGCCCCGCCTCGCTTGCTGCAACAATGGTTGCCATGGCGACTTTCCGCTATGGTTTATGAGCCACCTCTTTTCTGCCCTAACTCGGTCCCACCCCCTAGCCTCGTGCGGTGGCCCTGAATTGTGTCACATTTTGTATGGGTTGCTTCGAATTACTCAAGCTGCCTTAATTGCCGTCTGTTCAGGCGCAACCTGCAAGTCCTCATCTGCGTGCATTTGCCGGAAATTAAAACAAGTCTGTCCGTTGCCACGGAAGTGTTGGCAAGCAACTTAAAAGGCTTGATAGTTTTGGCCTTCAGATTCAGCAACTTAAGCCTACCGCCAGCGCCCACATAGCCACTGTATTCTAAGAGCTGTCAACCTCTAGTGGGGGACATCTTCTGCATGCCAGTACCTGCTTCCAGCGCTAATTACTTCTGCGTCCACGGCAAAGTTACCAAAAGCCGACTCCCGATCTACTAGCAGGGCATGAGGCTAGTCACCCTCCAGTACCCGTGCAATGTAGGCACAAGCGCAGCGAATCCGCAAAATGCAATTCATATCTCGAGAACATATTTGATTTATTGTTGCAAAACGTTCAAGAAAGTAATGTTCGCAGAAAAAGACAGCTGAACCTCGTATTTTGCCGCATTATTTCTATTTGGATCCTCAATTCGCCAAGTATCTTTTTCTCAGTTCAAACTGCTTCCTTAATTTTAAAAATTAAGCGGAGTTGATTTATCCCTATCATGGATAATCATGTCCATTTCAAAATATTAGTAAGTTAAGTACTTTGTAATTCGTTGTAATCTGCCTGGGTCTTATTGTACAAATTCTTACCAAAGGTCTATTTGAATGAAGCTCAAATTCTCTCGTTTTCACTCATGAAGACTGTGGTACTTCCTTGCTTTGCACTACCTTGTCTCAAGCTGCAGGCTTTGTGTAAGCCTCTCATGAGGCCTGCCTCACTACCATACACTTGTTGAAGACTCCCGTTACTTCTGGACTTGGGTGCGCAAAGTACTTCTAAACCACCTGTCTGCTCAGCGTTTGCAGTTGTCTTGTTGTACGGTGGAACACTTCGACCGCCTGGTTGCCTTTTGCCATCCTGCGTGGACGCATCCTGTGGGCTAGTGCTGACAACAACCAGAATCCACGGCCGCCACGAGTGTGCCCACTCCACCGTCCACACATCTACTTTCGTCGTGGTAGCACAACCTCCACGGGATGGCTCATCACTTCTGCTCTCCCTCTTCACCTCTCTCCAGTGGCACCACGATGCTCACGGTTTGTCGTGATGCCCACGTCAAAGTCAATTCAATCTACCATGCTCTGTCTCGGTGTAGACATTCGGTTGGCCAAACCCAAATCATCTTACATCGAGGCGTGTTCGTTGTCCTGATTCCTTGACGGATGTGAGGTGTACTTTTCAGACGCTTTCTTGGCCGGTTTCGCACATCCCCCTTTCCGATGTGGTCTCCAGTGGTGCCAGTGTACTCGTGATCTGTTGCTGATGTTTGGTTTGCAAGCACCCCAGAGCTATACCACTAAGGTCGTTTGGAGAAGCACCTGTGGCTTTTACAAGATTGTCTTCCGTTCATTGCCGCTGTGTGTCCTTCTTTCAGTTGAGTTATGCGCTGGAAATGGTTGTGGTGTAGGTGACAGCGCTAGACAGTAGCACCTTGAAGCATCACGCTAAGCTTGGACTCCCGTCATGTAGCAACTACCGACGTGCAGGGTAGCAACTTCACCCCAATGCGTTCCCAGTTCTTTTCTAATCGTCGTGTGCATACTATATTTCATATTGATTTCTTAGCACGTAGTTGACTTGGCCACCATTTTCGTTCACCTTTAAAGCTTCGATTGCAGCGTACGTGGCTGTGTTTTCGTGCTTAGAGATATCAAGAAGCTAACATTTGTCTGCTTTTTGCGGGAATGGCTAAACACACACAAAGGCTTTGAATACAAAGGCGATAAATTACTTAATATCGGATACCCAATGGAATTTCTTCCAAGTCGTGGAGTGACGCGAATTATTATTTGGAGCTGTCGGTTTTTGAGTAGAATTGGGAAGTCCCAAAACTAGGCCGCCTTCTTAATCACAAGCGGTAAAAAGGTTTGCATTAAATGGTCTTAACGCTTCCATTTTATTTGATAACCGAATGAACCACTTCCAGATTCTCGGTACGTTGTTCGTTGCAAAGCAATAGTCTTTGAAATCCCGAAAACGTTCGTGATGCCGGCGAGCTCTGTTAAAGGCCTTTCTCTGATAAAGCGGCTTTCAGTGGCAAACTCTTGATTAAGCTTGTGTGGTGTCCTTTTGAATTGATCTGACTGTCTAATAGGGATAATTCTTCAGGAATTTTTAATGAAGGAATTCTGGTTGTGGATCAGTTGGCAGCTGCGTTTTCGTGCCTCGTAGGTGACCGCAGCAAGTCTGGCCGTGTGGCGTTTGGCTCAACGAAGCGTTGGTCTGAACGGTCGAACCCTCCGCAAGCTGCCCCTTCTAGCGCACGCCTTCCACCTGACCTCGAGGCCACCCGACCGCTTGCACGCCCCAACCACCACCACCCAGCAGGCAGAGCACTGCAAGTTGGCGACCTCGTTCCGGGGGCACAACAAGGAGAATATTTCGCCGTCGCTAAACACGCCAAGTCGCGCCTCCGCGGTCCCACTGTTAGCCTTCATCGAGGCGCTTCAGATGGCCGTGGATTGTCAATTCGCCGACAGCCGAATGATTGCAGGAGTCACGGACGAGTCGCATTTGAGCGCGGGAGATAAGGAAGCTGGTTCTTGTAAAACTACCTCCATTCATGTTGACATTTAATGGGTGTGACTGAACGTCCTTGCTGTTGCGTTGGTTTTGCCTTTATGAATACAGATTTTACCAATGTAGCCTCTGTTTGTGTTCTTTGGAAACAACTTCTGCTGCCTTAGGAGAGAAACTGTTGTACTTTGTAGATTGTTGACAAAAAACTACTGGGGCCAAGAATTTTTAGAAGACGGTGCTCCTTTCGTAGCCACATGATGCTTGTCTCGTTTGGCATCCTCTTGCTTTTATGCATCTGTTTGTTAAAGGCAGTGACTTCGAGCAGATCTCATCACCATTGACGACACTACGCTCCACTAAAAGTGTGAATTGTGCTAGCGGAGAATCAGTGGCTTTTGCTTGTTACTCAGCTTAGTACCTGGACTTCATGGCGCTGAGCAAAACCACTTCTGGTTTTGTGTAGGCATTACACTAAAGGCCAGAGGATTCAATGGTGGAGCGAGCAGGCAGAAGCCTGAACCATTTTTGCTGGGGTGGTGTGGAGAGTATTGAGGTCGCAAGGTAACGAGGACTCAACGACTTGAAATAAATTTCTTCCTACACAATGGAGGAGACTGATAATGTAAATACTGACTCGAAATGTTCAGTCGGGCCTCTTCACAAGATTGACTAGTTTCCACTTAATAAATAATGTGCTGGTGACCGGTCACACTATTGTGTCCACGTACTTTAAACCTTGCATGTTGGTTTAATGTTCTGATTACTATGTCAGGCGCATGAATCGGGACTGAAATGAATAAAGTAATAGATTCTAGAATGGCCAAAGATAGGTGTTAATTGTTATCTTAACGCTATTCTAGATCTGGTACTTTGAATTTCATTCAGATTTTCTCCAGTGGAATGGGTCATGCGATTATAAAATTATTTACTCGAAATTGTGCTGAGGAGAGAACGCGTAGGTAATGCCAACGCAAATAGCGCCCATTGGCTGATGCGTCTGTCAGCTATTGGATAATTTTATGTCTACACAGCCTTATTAGCATGTGTTTGGAACAAATACTGAATGTGTATTTGATGGCTCAGAAATCGTGCAGTCGCTGCAAGGGCCGTCAACTCTGGCCCCAATCCCTTGATTCCCTCTATCAAACCGCGCAAAATGCCTGTACTGGCATTCAGGCGTCACTCGATTCTGTGCGTTCCCCGTGCGACGCCGTAAACATCGAGCAGAGTGAGGAAATGTGTGAGGTTTTGGACAGCATAAGTTATCTCGACGGCAATATAAAAATTTCCACCTTGTCAGATTTGCAATGCGAAAGTCTAGCTGAGGACCTCGGGTTCGACCGTAGTGACAGCACCAAGGTTGACATCATCAAGAGCCTTCGTGACCTTGACCGCCTTCGGAGCAATGTGGCTGCCTTTTTTGAGATCCTTGAGAAGCGCCTCTCTTCGGCCCTGGACCATGGCATCTACATTTTCTGTGCCAGCCTTATTGAGGTCGCACGAGAGCATGTGGATGAAGTCGTTGAATATGAAAACTTCATTGTGAAGCAAAGAGTTGATCTTGTTCAAGCAGTTGCGCAAATTAAACAACAGCGGAAGGAGTGGGATGGTTTCACACAAGATATGCACGCAATGATACAGAACGCTGCGTCTTTAGGACTTTGTTTGGAAGATGTTCAATCGCAGTGGCAGCGGATAAAGGAGAAGACACTGGAATGGATCCAGAGAGACCGTGACTACCCAGCTCATTTGAACAGTCGGATTAATCAGAACCGAGACGCTATTCCTCAGCTTCAACGAGATATTCAGCTCATTGGGGAGGCAGAGCAGAGGAAAATAGAAGATCGTCGTCGCTTTTGCGTCCAGATGGAAGCCCTTCAGAAGCGCCGTCGGGAGCTTTGCAAGTCTCTTGCTCACGTGAGGCGCGCAAAACGATTTAGCACGAGCAAACTTGCAGCCTTCAATAGCGATTCGTCGCAAAAGGAAGGACCTGAATGTTGTGAGGGTGAGTCCACGGTCAGGAAGACTGACGGTGGTCAAAACTCAACTAACAAATCTTCTGGCACCACTAACTGTGAAAATACGCAGTCCAATTCGAAGTCTCAAGATGGCCAAAAGGAGTACCATCGTCGAATGGAGGCAAAATTAGACAAGCAGCAAAACGAAATAAGATCGGCTCTGAGGGACGTTGAGAAACGAATAGCTAATTTGCAAGAGGCCATCGACCACGCCGACGGTCAGGTAGACTCTGCGGGAAAGCAGGTCGCGATGATCAAGGCCGAAATTAGCAGGATTGAAAGGATTTCTGCCGATTGTAGAGAGATACTCCAACAACGAGGAAAAATTCAAACCTTTCTGCAACTTCAAAAAGGAAAAATCAATAAGAGCACAAGAGGTAGGTGTTTGATAATGAATTTAGTGGTTTTTCAAATTATGCTCAGTTTTAAAGTGAGATTTTTTAAAGTCAGGTATTTTTATCGTTTATGGTAGGTCGAATTTGTTAGGAACGCGCATCATCATTGCTGCTTTGTAAATTCATTCGAAATAACAACAATAATTAATGTCCTAATCCGAAAGTGTTCGCTTCAACTAGAGTGTGATATGACATATACAGAGCATTTCGGAAGACGGTCATTAATCAAAGTCAGTGTCAGAATTTGGAAAGTATTTAGACAAGACTCTAGCGTGATGATTCGAGATAAACGTCTAGGGCGGATCCGAGCCAAGTTGCTCCATAAATCATTGATGAACTGGTAAATTCTGAAGTACTTAACAGTGATAAAATACCGAGTAATTTTGCAGTTGTAGAACACACGAAGAGATAATAATCAGAGTAGATATAAGAATTTGTCAGCGAATTTTGGACAAGGATCCAATTTTGTAAGCAATTTTGCGTGGAAATAAACTTCTTTGTCAGAAACGACAGTCTATGCTAAGGGAGCGCGAACGGCAACAATGTTGATCCATCTAGTAAACATATGTCTCCGTCATCTTCGGGTCCATTCAACAAGGCAGTCCGTTTTGACTCGAAAGCACAAGTCGGGGCTTCAACAAGATTAAACGGACTCCTTCGATCTTGATTTGTGTACAGACATTCATATGTGATCAAACCCCTGAACTCTGTTAATTGTAATTTTTTGTGGAACTTGCTTTATCGCCTTGATTGCATTAAACGTAATCACTAAACTACTGTGGACCTTGTGGTCAGTGTAAGAGCATAAAGTATTCGTTTGGGAAACGCCACTTATTACGAGATCGCGTTGGTCGTCACAGCGACAGCCGATGCGGAGGTGCAAGAGGCACCTAACCTGTTGACACTGGAGCTAGCGACGATGATTAAGTTGGTATGCAGTGGGGTCGTCTACCCAAGCCGTTTATTTGTGTGACCAAATGGTTGCCTGGCTGTCATCGACAAGACAAAACACCGCTAAGCTTGTTGGGCATTGCTAAACACAAAGTTCAAGGTTATACCATGCACCGGCGCCTACTTTGTGCTGACACCACACGCAAGTGAGTGCGCCACATCAACGATTTACTCGATAAGCTGCTTTCAAAGCCGCACATAATTGTCCTTGAATGGTAAAGGGGAGAACAATAGAAAGGAAACGAAGGGGTTTCCAAACTCAATGAAAGCCAGTTGTTGGAGAGTAGTGGAAACACTTGTCATTTCTACACTGCTGAAAGTGTCCAAAATCATTCCTCTTGGCATAGTCAGTTCCTCGTGTACTTTTTTAATGCGTTTTTATTCGAAATGAGAATGAAGTTACCAGGAGTGAACGGACCCTCCTCTCTTGTGAGGGAGTTGTCTGCACCTGGAAGTTGCATGTCACAATGCTACCAGGTTCCACATAACTAGAGTTGAAACAGTGCCCATAGTAGTGCACTGTTCGGAGAGAATGCCGCTTAAGTACATCAAAAATGAGTCGAACAATGGTATTTCTGCCTTTCAAATCCTGTCGCCTTTATCATTGCGTGCTAATTGGCCACTATTATTTGCAAGTATGTCAACCGATGCAATTGTATGGGAAAATGTAGAACTGGTGCTTAGGTGATTTGCTAATCACTTCGTTTCCTCCTCCACTCCAATAGGTGGAACCCCATTCGACGAGGCTTGTAAATGTGTAGCGAGGAAGGTGCAGCGCGACTGGCCACGCCTCTACACTCACCTGCCCATGCATCCACCGAGGAGTCGTGAGCAGCGTCAGGCCGACATCAGCGGTCTCCTCGGTTTCCATCGCATGAACGTGGTGCTTCCGCGCAACCGCTCTGCCGCCGAGGAGGCTGCAGCTGCGCTCGCCAAGTGGCGTCTGCTGTCACGCCGCGACGTGGACGTCGGTGGTCTGGCGACTGCGCTGGAGCGTGCGGGGTGGCCCGTCTGGGCGGACGAGGTGCGCACCAAGTGGTGGACTGATTTGGACGCGGCCGTCGCGCCAGTGTCCGCCAGCAGCGACGAGGAAGCCGCATCGGTGGCAGACGCTGGGGACTTTGAGGATGAGCTGAAGGAAGACCACTTGAGCCAAGAGAGTGCAAAGTACAAGGAGGAGGAGGAGGAGGAGAAGAAGAAGGAGGAGGAGGAGGAGACTAGTCTGCCAGGACGTGGCAACGAAAGTGAAGGCTCCGAAGAGGTACGAATTGAACCAGATTATGACGACGAAAAGCACACGTCCCGACGTCAAGGTCAGTCGAGCAGGAGCTCATCAGAAGAGGAAGAACGGAGCAGTAGATCTGCGAGGTTAGATGACGAAACCAGTTCAGAGTACCGCATAGAGTATTCTTCTGACAAAACCAACGAAATACATAGGAGAACAGAAGATGTCTTGCTGAAATGCTTGCTTCTTACCCTAATTGTGGCAGGCGCAAAAAATTCACTGCCGCTTCAACAGATCCAACCAGTGAGGATTACTCCAGCAAAGTTACAATGGAGCCACTAGCACTGGTTAATGTCTTACCAAAAACAAACGCTGAGAATGACCAACCAGCAACAGGATTGAAAAATGACGAGGCAAAGTTAGCCGAAACGTCCTCAAAGCCAATTTAAAAACACTGTTGCGCCAAAAGAGGTAGAAGCGCGTAGTAGGAGGCAATCGGTTAAGATGAAAGCGATTCAGCCGAAGCAAAAGAAACCCAATGTGACTACCAAATTAGATGTCTGCGAGACTGACGAGCCTCCAAGTGACAGACGTGAGAAATCAGCGGGAGGAGCTGATCAGGTAGCTGACGGGCAAGTTGATTGTTCCCAAGACTCAGCGCTTAATGAGGATTCTGATAAGCCGACACAGACACACGAACACGTAAAACTATATCCTGAAATTTTCTAAAATGTTGAAAATTAAGGTAAAAATCGGATGTTTCTGCAATTAATTTGGTTTTAATTTTTGTTAGAATGTTGAGTACATCTTCAATCAATATAAATTTTTGGTAGCTCTTTTTCTTGAGCTTATGATGATGTAGAACTTTGTGTCGACTAGTTTAATTTCAATAGCTATATGATCAGGTTGTTTTTTACATACCTTAAAGTTGGAAATGAAGTTCCCGGATTGCTTGAAGCTTGTAGGTGTTTTGTGTATTCTATTCGTGGCTCAACCCATGCACCAGAGAAAAATGAAAAGACAAAATTCAACAAAATCTCAGCCATTTATCATGCTGTTGAATCGGGCTTATCAGCCGTAGCTGTTCCCTTGCATTTACGCTTCGTTTGTGTAGAATAGCAGAGTGAGTCATTGGGTGTTAACATAGACGATTAAGGCAGTTTGTATACATATTTGGGTAACATTCAAGATAAACATTGGAGTTAATCAAAACAGCCACATATTTAGGACTGGGTGGCCCAGAAGGGGTTCTGGGGAAATGAAAGAACAAGGAAGGCGGTCAAGCACGAGCTGTGGCAACAAGTTGAAAGTCACCACTGCTAAAGGATGCAGAGGTCCTTTCTTTAAGTCGTTCGCCGATGTGACTGGATGTCAATTGCCATTGCTTATCGATTAACCATGGGTTGATGCAGGCCAGCTGATGGTAAAGGAGTCGCTGCAGCTCCAACTGGTTACCCTGGTAGCAGTTGAGTGCAATCACAACCTTATATTGTTTACAGTGCTGCATAACTACAAGAGCACTACTTTGCCTACTAATTGGAAAAGAGGCAAAACACTTGTCTTTCACTTAATTTTTTATTATTGTCAGATTTTACGCACTAGTTCAGATATTTTCAAATTGATTTATGGCTCAACTTTTATGGTTCCTTTTATGTTTCATGCGTGATGGTTCTCTTTGTGTATTTGTTTGATTGAAAACAAATATGATTTAAATTCTTATACGCTAATCTTTAACAAACACTAATTGAAAGGATTTATAAACGCTGTTGTAGCACCCATGCTTTCGATCCGTTCACTGTGATTGTTCTTTCATTTCCTTTTTTCTCTAAAGCTCTTTGATACACAAATATCGAAGCTCACCAACACAAAAGGAGTCTTTGGCATGAAAAAATTCACCTATAAATTCGACCAATCCTCAGTTACTTTTTTCCCCCTGTCATCGTAAAAAACCGACACGCTTAGATTTGTTTAGGCAAAGCTACTTTACAGAAAGACACAAGTCTAGTAATCTCCGTGAGTTAAGTCGCCTAAAAACATTCTCCAGTTACGTGACTTAGGGTTACTTCTCATGATTAAGAGGATCTTATCTCTACCAATCACTTTTTGATTTGTAAATGACTGTTTCGTGTGTCATTCGGTATGTTTAGTTGTTTTCTTATTTTACATATTAGTTCACTTGTCAAAGTGCCATTAATTAGTAACTCTGGTGGTTTTCATCTGCCATACAATTGATATCTCGCGATCCGCTGACGGTCAGTTAGTGTCGCAACTACCCTCTTTGTGGGACACAAAACTGTACAGCTACTGATATTTTTTGGTAACTCCTAGATTTAAAACGTTTGCTTCACGAGCAGATATATGATTATGGATACTTGAATAAAAACCCAAAATGTTCCAAAAGCCATAATAAATAATTATTTCTTTGAATAATTCTTGCTAACACCACCTTTTATGAAAATAAAATAGTCGCAATTTGTACCTATTAACGTTTGCTGTGCCATTGTGTTCTAATTTAGCGAGTATTTTGTATTTTCTTAGCAGCCTTATGTGAGGATTACTTATCGGTTCATCTATCAGTGCATTCTTCTAGCTTGTTGATTTAAATAAATTCTGGTATTACTTTTGACAGCAAAGCATTGTTGAATGAGGTTTTGACGAAGTTATGGGTATTTTGCAGGGTTTTGAGCCCAAATCTAAAGAATAAGATGAACGATCTCAAGTAATTTATGTTAAAAATTTGATAAAAGATTATTTGCGTCGAAGCATGATAAACCACTTCTAAACTAATGATAACAAAAGGGCTAATGAGAAAGGGCTTATTTAAAAAGGACCAATTTTTGAGTATTTCGAGGCGTAATATTACAAGCCTGGTGTCTGCTTAAAATGATAAAGAGCTTATGCTAGTACATGCCATGATGAGAAGACTAAGAGATTGATTAGAAAGACAACGTCAAATTAATATTGACGAAGGGCTGCTGTGATAAATTTTTGACAGCCAATCCAGAATGGCCAGTTTTTTAAAACGGAATGAACCAGAGTTTCATTTGTTCCTTTAAGAAAGCAAAATGCCTTTGGCAGGCTTGTGTAGATATTTACAGAGGTAAATACAGACAATCAGTAGCGGTGTGATAGCAGAGGGTCGGCCAAGTCAATGCGCGCGAGTCTGAATTGAGCAGTAGGAGTCTTAAAAGCACCAAATTGCTTTAGTTTGAATCAGGCCAAGTTTTTTGAGTTCCCTAATGTGGATCACTAGGACACCAGCCTATTAACGGCTCCAACAATAAAAAATGGAGCACACAGTAGTTGAGGACTAATTGCAGCTGCATGTCGCAGGCATTGATTAGGATCGATGGCCCCGTTGAATTTTTGCGGATCGCCTGGTTTTCACCCTTATTTTTGCTTGGAATGCCAGTTTCAATCTCCTGCTGGTCTTCTCTCCGCCTCACCGCTGCTATCCCCATTTAGTCAACAAAACTGACGTCCAGTTTTGATGCCATTAAAAATACCCGTTCTGATAAGAACATGTACTAATTCCTGGTCAGTGGCGCTAATGTTGCGAAATCCGAAGATAAATTGATTTATCAAGTCAAGTTGTCTCACTTCACGTTTCGTGTAACTACAAGAGTTTGATTGCATGGATTGAACTAGTGTTTTCAGTCATTGTATATGTCAGGCAGTCGAAAGCATGGCTACTCAAGCGGCTAGCTTCGGCAATCTACATTATTCTGACCTAGTTCTGAACCAGCAAATACGTTTAATGTATCACATATAAATGTTGTAAGTCACTCTGACATCAACTAGTCAATGTGAGCCGATTTTGTGTGAAAAGTGGCCACTTGTCCAAGTTTGAGATCGACGGGAGCACTGTGGTGGCCGTATCAAGAAGTACATGTAAAAATTAATCATGTGAAGAAAGCGACGGGTTGATCCAGTGACCCAGCAGCTGGATAAACCCCTAACAGAAGTCTGCAGATGTCATGGCCTTTACCGGTTTCCGCACTATCATAAACGTTCCTTCCTGGATCAATCACCAGGCCTTGCGTATTTGAGCATCTTCGTGCTGTCCGGAATGCTGCTCTATCCTTCTATCCCGATGAGACTTTAGTTAATTTTTAAGACAGCAAATAAACTTCTCCAAGTAAGTTGGAGGCGTCAGTCCTCTTCAGTCATGGCGAAAAACTGCTTAAGACCACAAAATTCTTAAACAGAACTTGTTGACAGGTAATTTAAGCTTAGCAGCACATAATTCTAAAACAAGTGCTAGCTTACAAAATTTTAATATGCTTGGCCTTCTGTTGCTAACCTCAAAATATTAAAAAAAGGTATGTCTTACATAAATTGCAGCTAAACTTACCGATACAAACTTTTTTCAAATATTCATGGCTTTGGTAACTAGGCGACAACCTACTTTCATTTTTATCGCCTGTTAAGCCTGCAGGAAATCGCTCTGAATAGTGCACGGTTCCACTACGACGCAATGCAACACTTTTTACAAAACTCGAGGTGGTTTCATTTGTCCATTGTAAATTGGACTTAGGTGAGTGGAGATCACTCAACACCACGCTGAAACCTCCAAGGTCACAGGAGCCTTAATGATGCTGCAGGCATTAGCGACATCATGGTATGCTAGTCAAACTCTGTTGGTAATAATAAACTGAATTTTGAGGCCATATTTTTAAACAATCCCTCTACGTAGCTTTATCTATGGGAACAAAAATGGGCCTCCTTTCAGAAGTGTGTCAATAAAGGCGGGTGATAAAATAAGGCAATCGTTTGACTTGTGCTCGCAACGGTCTATTCGTTATCACAAATCGGGCCCGATACCACATTGTGAAGCAGAAAAGCCCTAACATAAGACATTTGTATAGTTGCGCACCAATAGACATAGCGAAAACATTTAATCACCATTTCGCCAATCAGTATGCCATTAGTTACTCCTCTAGGCCATTTTTTTCAGTTGCATGAAAATTGTTGTATCAATTAAATGGTCAAAGGAGGTACGTTTTGGCACATATTTGCAACAGTACAGTTGTGAAATCAGCCAAGTGGCATGACTTCTGAAGATTAGAACCAACTCACGATGAGACCACTGAACTAAAGGGGATGAACCCATAAAAAGCATAACAATATCATTGATTTTAATAACCGGTAAACATAACGTAATGGCGACTGGCGATGGCATTAAAAAACATATTTTGAACCTCTTCCAGGCAATTAAAATACGTGTGGCGTAGCTACAGCAAATATTAAATGTCTTGCCGTGGGAATCGTGGCTTCGTAATGGCGATAGACTTTTCTATAATCATTAATAAGTACCATTTTGGCAAAAGCACTCAAAAGGT